CATGTCTAAATATGTCCAAGAGCCCTGAACTTGGCTTGCGCTCGGCATGCCAAGCAAATGAAAGCATCGGAGCACCAGCAAGGAACCTAAGGTTGTACTGAGTGCCGTTTGCTACAAAAATTCCAAACAAAGGGAAAACCAAATCCACATATCCCGCGTTTTTAGAAAAATCACCAAGGCAGAACCAAACTGGAAAGGGAGGAGGTGGCCAGAGAGGCTGGTGCTGCAACCAAATCCACATATCCCGCGTTTTTAGAAAAATCACCAAGGCAGAACCAAACTGGAAAGGGAGGAGGTGGCCGGAGAGGCAGTTGCTGCCCAGTCGCTTGGGGAGTTTGCGGCTGAACTGGGCTGCCTGCCGCCCCTCGGCCCCTTGCACGGGAAGGGGAGCAGCCGGGGCGCTCCCGAGGGTCCCCACTCGCGAGCAGCCGTTGTGCCACGGGCCGGGCGGGCAGGAGGTGCCTACCTGGCTTCTAGGCTGAAAAGCAAAGACAAAAAAGCTCTGGGGAAAAAAAAAAATATATTGTTGGCTGGGACTTGAGGTCAGTTTGAGGCAGTGAAGACAACTTCTCTCCTGGCTAGGTGGCTGCTCTGATTTATACATCGCATCGAGCGTATTTAAATGACCGTGTCTGACAGGCAAGTGCTACGTCGTGGACCCCATTTGTTTCTGAATAGCTACAACCAGTGGCACTTTATCAAAAGGTTTGCAGAAACCTTTTAAAACTGATTTTTACTCTCACGAGTCAACCTGGGACAAGCCCAGTTATTTTTTTCCAATGTTGATAAACTGTAAATGTTTTTTTTAAAGGCCAATGTATATATTTTAAATGTGATTTATTATATGTATTTACTAACCAGAACTGCAAGTCTTGTACTCTAGGGTCAGGGATAAGAGGACACTGGGGTGGAGCTGTCGCTGTCTGAGCCACCTGAGGGCAGCACCAGGCTGCTCTCATCGTCAATAAGGGAATTAAACATTTGATTTTGCAGAAGAATGCCTATTTTTTAAGCTCGAGATCTCTATTTTGAAGCTACTGTATGGTGCGTAAGTTATGTACACTGCAACCGGGACTAACTGACCCCAGCTGCACCTGCTCCATGCAGCAAGACAGCGAGGGGAAAAAATAGCCCATGTGATCACCAGACTGACAACAGATTTTAAACCATCTGCTCTGTTTGTGTTAATCGTGTGTTTTGTTTTCCACTAACATCCATTAAGACTAAATTCTATTAAACAATGGGGCATATTTTACCCTTTTGATAGTTTTGCCTAGTTGTCTCCCTCGTGTCAAATCGCACAAGCTTGTCTCCTACTCTGAAGTTCAAGGATCGGCTTTATCCTGGCCCGTGAGTGCTGAAGATCTGGGTTTCCTCAGATCATCTCCCCTGGTGAGAGTCCCGCTGTCGCCTCCAGCGAGGCTAACATTCTGTTCGAGTCTCACCACCACGGCAGTGCCCTGTGGGGAGAGCGCTGGGGACCAACACCACCAGCCACTGCCCCACTGCCCAGCTTTGGGCACGTCTGAAGCCTCAGCTGCGCCTGCCTCCAGGCAAGGCACTCCTCCGTCCTGCTCGGTGATCGGAGCGCGGCCACAGCCACACCAGCTCCGGCTTTGCTCCGAACAAGAAGCCCAGGCCTCGCCCTCTCGCCACGCTGCCTTTCTCCAGCGCTCGCAGCGCCCATCCCAGCTCGCCCCTGCCCGTTCACACAGGAGGCTTCAACCCGTGCCACCCGCCACGACCGAGGCGTGCTGGGGAGCAGCCACGTGTGCGGCGCCTGCGACCCCGGAGACCACGAGGTAAGCGCGCTCTTCTGCACGAAGAGCCAGTCGGAGCTGGACAGATTTGCCCAAAGCTGAGCAGAAAGTGGGAGGCAGTGCCAGGATCGGGTCCCAGGAGCATCACGCTGTCGGGCCGTGTCCCTCCAACACGACTCGGACCCTATGACACGAGCAGCCGTAGATGCTGGGTGCAAACTCCCTCCCGCTCTCGCTGTGTGTTATCCGAGACCATCATTTATTGCCGTTCATACACTGGATGCATGGGGGTCTGCGTTTGTTTATTTTTTTTCGTTTGTTTCTTTTTTTTTTATACAATTTACAAGTTTTAATACAAATCAAATATTTTTACATACATCCCAAAAAATTTAATATAAAATATACACCATTTAAAAACATCTCGCTGTAGGAAATTTCTTTCTGAAGCCATGCACCCTGGCCCTCGGATACCTCAGCGGCAGAGGGAAGGGTGGCAGTGGAGGGACCATCCAAAAGGTTCCCTTCATACACCTCGCCTCCCTCCAAGTCTAGCAGGGGAAGGAGGGTGCAGGAAAATAAACATTTGTGATCGCCCAGAGAAGGAAACGTTGGAGGTGCCTCCTCTAGAGGAAGGTGTGGCCAGCAGGAGGCCCCGGTATCTGCTGCCTTTTATCACAGTTACTGGCACAGGGCAAGAGCTAAGGTCTCGGGCGGGGGGAAGGTTGCTCTGCAGGAACAGCCGGGAGCAGCTTGGTGCTGCCTCTGACTCCAGCTCAGCGCGGCCCCAGAAGAGACCGTACCTCACCTGCTAGCTGACCCTGGCAGCAGAAGGAAAAGCTGATTTCTCAGGTGCCAGGGGTAACAGATCTGGAGCTGGCATTTAGTGAACTGAGAGATGCAGCTTGTTGTCCCTGGGCCAGGCAGCTCTGCGGAGTGCAGCCCAGCTGGCAAAGGTGAGCAGACCCGCTCTGCGAGCAGGAGTGGCCTGGTGCTGCTGCGCTGCAGAGCAGCCCTGCGTCTCCTCAGTGAGCTGCTGGCTCCCTACCCCACGCGACCCTGCCAGCAGCGTGGAATCTAAACACCCACTCCCCAGCTGCAGGAACAGAGTCCAGGCCTCTGAACACCCCCAGCTGCCCCCCTCCAGCGTCCTCCGTCTGTCCCCAGAGCTCCGAGGCTGGCTGTAACCCCCCTTTGCTCTCCTACCAGACCCACAGAAGGGAGAAGGGTATTGCTCAGAGACACGCAGTAGTGTGCATGCTCTCTGGTTATGCTGAAATGTAAGGAAGACGAGGTGGAGCGGCAGGGCAGAGCTTGGGGTTCCCAGCCAGCTCCCTGCCTGCCGGGGAAGGACCAGGAGCTCTCTGTTAGTCTCAGGCGAAAGGGGAAGTAATGGCCGTGTATTGCAGTGTTAATATTGGGAGCAAAACCAGTGCCAGGATCTACCAGCTTTAGCCAGTTTTTAGTACTAGGAAGGGAGTCAACATCTCCATGAGCTGCAAATATTCCAGTAGCCAAGCCTGTCTGCTCCTGTGTGGCCCTTGACTGTCAGCCCACAACAGTACCAGTGTTCCCAGTACAGCCGTGGTCGGTTCAGAGCTCAAGAGCTTGTGTGCCGCACTGGGGCAAATGAGGGTTTGCAGCAGCCCTCGGGGGAAGGTGTCCCCCCAGTCCAATGAAGAAGAGACCTCCAGAAAAACAGGGAAGAGATGTGAGGGCAGCAGCAGGGAGGGGAGAGACTTCCTAACGCTATCACAGAAAGACAGGATGAGGGGGGTTTCCCTGTGCCTTGGAGAGCAAGGACTGGATGCAGCACAATCCCAGGCCTGGGAAAGGAGCCATCCACCACAACTGCAAGATGCAGATATCCTGCCTGGAATGTCCCCATCCCTCCACGGCAGGACTGGCAGGTTTTATCTCTAGCTACGGCCCTCTCAAGCAGGCATTTTACTGAAGCAGAATGGCAATTTAACTACCAAAAGAAACACAGTTATAAACCTCTCTGGGGGTTGTTAAAGCAGATAAAAGTTGGTTCAACAGGGCTGGAGGAAGCTGAGCCCTGCTGACTCCCCATAGGCAGGCAGAGCTGCCCTCCTGCCTCCCTCGGCACCAGATCCCTAGGGCTAAACGTGGACAGCTTTTCTTAAAGCCCTGCCTCATCCTCTTAAAGCCCTGCCTCATCCCTCTTGAAGCACTCAATAGCTGGGCTATGGCTACAGCAACAGCACTAGAGGGCAGGCCCACCACAGCCTGGCCATCATAGGGGCTTCCCAGCACACTGCTGAGACCCTTCCCAGTGTCCCACTGGGAACGTGAGCTCCCGCCACCCAGCACTGCAACAGAGATGGCTCCTTTGCCGCAGGACGCAGGGACAGGGAAGTGGGTGAGGGCACGCACAGGCATGCACACACACACATCATCCAGGAGAGCAGACATGGAAAAACAGAACAGGTTTCAACAGAGTCCTCTTGCTTCAGCAGTCCTGTGTCTCCCCTGCTGGCCCCGATTCTCCTGCCAGGTCCAAGAAACCTATCTGCTCACACAGAGGGAAGGAGTCACTTCATTTCAGCATCACCATGATACTAACAAAAACCTCTAGTAATAAATAAATAAAGGAAGAGCAGCCCGAACAGCCACCAGAGCTTGCAGGCTCCCTTGGGAGTACCCTAGCAGGCCGGGGAGGGGCTGCATACCTGCTGGGGGATCCTGATAGCAGTGCCCTGCCTGGGGGCCCCTGGAAGGTGCTGATGTAGTTTTGCAAGGAGGCTGTCTGGTTTGCATGTGTGAGGGGAAACTCCCTGAGCCTCTGGTGCAGCCCCTCTCCCAGTGCAGGATGCAGCTGTGTAGCCCTGGCTCCAAGGTACTCGAGCTGGGAGGGTCTAAAAAGGCGAATTCATCCCCAGCTTTGTTTCAAACTGCAACTTCTGCCTCTTTTGGTAACGGACCCGGACCCTAGAGAAGGCAGAAGAAAGAACAGAGTCAGCATGTGGAGAGGTGAAAGGCAAACAGGGCTGGCCCACAGCGATTCCTGAGCTGCACAGCCCCAAGAAGCAGGGAAGTCCCTGGCCTGGGCCCTGTGGTACCTTGAAGGGGAATCAAATCCAGAGAGCGACATGTAGTCCCAGTCCTACCCCATCCAGCCAAGTCCCATCTCCAGAGCCACCAGACACAGCAGGGAAAGGTCCAGAAATCCTTCCCAGGAACAGAGACAGCAGTTCTGTCCCCATCAGGGTTCCCTGTAATCCCCACTGCTTTTGCTCACCAACCCCTTTCCCGAATCGATGCTCATTAGTGTCAGCGCCCAGCTCTGGCTGCTCCCTGTGCTAGGAAGAACAGCCAGTCACTTTGCCTGCTACGAATTCTTGGCTTCAGCCACTTCCCGTGAAAATGAGTCCCACAGTCCAGGCACTGTGCGAAGACGTGTTTCCTGTGCTGTGATTCAATGCCTCTCTGTCCTCATGGGACGAGATGGAGAGAACAGCCCTCTGCAATTCCATACTGGTATTTCATAGACCTTGACTGTCTCCCTCCCACTGGTTTGAGATAAGGAAATTCGGTCTCCCTTCCTGCTCCCAATCACTGCCACTGCCCTTCCCTGACCCTCTTTCCTCCCCTGCGCTTCCTCCCTGAGAGGTGGAACATGAGCTTGCACACAATAGCCAGGTGATTTACACAATGCAGTCATCTTTTCCTTTTTATTCCCCACCCTGTTCCCTGAACATCATTTTTCTCCATCTCAAGGCCAGGCTGTAATGAGGCTCCAGCCCTTTCTCCCCATCTTCCCTACTGCCTCCATACCTGATTTCATGCAGCTTGACAGCCTCATTGATGATAACCACAAGGACCAAGGAAAGAAAACCCAGGAGCCATGAGACCGGGGAGATGGAAACGTGGTTAAAGGTCAGTGAAGAACTGAGGTTTTCCCAGAGTTTCAGGTCCAGCACAGTCTGTGCCACTTGCCCCAGCAATCTAAGATCATAAACAGACACAGCAAATCTCAGCAGAGCTAACAAGCTTCCCAGGATCTGCAGATCAGGGTTTTCAGGCCCAGATGTAACACTCCTGAGTTCACAACAGAGACCCTTCACCAATTCAGCAGTGGAGAACCATTGCCATGCACTATCATTTTCCTCAGCACCAGCAAACTGGTGCTGGAGCAGGTCTAGAGCCCTCCTTCCTCCAGCTCTCCGGAGTGCCTCATCAGGGCCTGAGGGTACTCACACAACAGCCACAGTGAGCGTCCACCACCGGTTGGAAAGCGGGCTCTTCTTCCACAATGGCTTGGTGCGATGGACGTGGGTGATGGATATAAACACTATGGGGACAGATGGAAAAGGGAGTTATTTAACATCACACACAGATACAACACTTTACAATATGCACCAACAGCTATTACTCCAAAGGGATATGGGGTTTATGTCCCTGAAACCAAACTTTCATTCAGGGTCCTTTCAGACCACAGAATCACAGAATCACACAATCACACAATCACAGAATAGTAGGGGTTGGCAGGGACCTCTGTGGGTCATCTAGTCCAACCCCCCTGCTCCGTCACCCTCAGAGGGAAGAAGTTCTTCCTCATGTTCAGACGGAACTTCCTGTGCCTCAGTTTGTGCCCATTGCCCCTTGTCCTGTCACTGGACACCACTGAAAAGAGCTTGGCCCCATCCTCCTGACACCCACCCTTCAGATATTTGTCGGCATTTATAAGGTCCCCTCGCAGCCTTCTCTTCTTCAGGCTGAACAAGCCCAGTTCCCTCAACCTCTCCTCGTAGGGGAGATGCTCCAGTCCCCTCACCATCCTTGTAGCCTCCCCACAGCAAATCCAAGTTCCCAGATACGCAGGGCAGGGGGGAGCGCAGCGGCAGTACTGCACAGGATTACTCACTGTGGGGATGCCAAGGTTGGTTCGCAGCCTGGCATGCTAAAACACATCAGGCAAAGGACCAGAACTAGGGACCGGGGTGGGTCGGGGGGGATGAGTGTTGCCCTTGTCTTTGGGTCACTGCAGGCCTGCACCAGTGGAAAGCTCCAGCCCAGAGAAAGATATTCAGCCAGAGACCCAGAGCTGTCTGCACAGGACAGAGCATTTGCTCAGCTTTTGATTGGGCTCTTCAGAACAGCACTTCCCACCTGCCAGTCTCAGTGGTCTGAAGGACGTAAAACAGTAATGCAGACTACCTCTCTCCAAAGTAGGGCTGCCTCTGAAATCAGGAAGCGTTTCTGTTGGCCTGCACACCCTGCACATCTCCACATGCAACACACTGCCTGGCACCAAGGTGCAGCACCACATGACATGGTGGAAAGGGAGCAGAGACCCTTTAAGGTTGTCAGAGAGCAGCTGGACCTACTCTGCCAGGCAACCATGCACAGGTGATGAGGGTCAGCCAGCGGCTGGCTCCCCGCCCCTCCAGAGGGTTTAAAAAGGCTTCCACGGTAGTCACAGCTGCATTAGTGCTGTTTGTGGGGAAGGAAAGAAGGTGCTGCACAAAATGGCAGCAGGTGAGCTATGGGATGTTGCTAGCTGATTTTCAAGAAGGCAAAGATGGACGCTGCTCTTAGGTGAGACTGGAAAGGAACCAGCACTTCACCAGCCTGGTAAGAGGCAGAATCAGCTCTGAAGGTGCTGCCTGCAATCTGCTAGGGCAATGTTTAGGAAGACAGTGGGCTTTACGCCTGTGCTGAGAGACCACTGCAGGGTCTGCTTCTACCAGGGAATTTCTGCCCCAGCATAGGAGGCAAAGGATGCAAGTTTTCTGCCAGAGTGGGGGAAGGTGGGGGTCTGGGAACAGGGACTTACCTGTGTGTAAAACAATCAGGCCAGCTGTGAGCTTCTGGGCTACAAGAAGAGCGTTGGAAAATGTCCCAAACCAGTCAGGAGCACCATCAGCATTGCTAGTAAATGAGAGGACACAGGGAAGAAGTCAACAGTGGGGACTTGCTGTCTGACCTGTTCCTGTTGGGGCCATGTGTTCTCTGACAGCTGAGGGAGCTAAGTGTGAGCTTGGAGTCAGGCTGTCCTACTACAAGGAGGTAACAGTGAGCAAAGATGCAATTGTCAAGGCTATAGGGAGAGCACTCAGCCCTCTGTATAGCCATTATAGCTGGATCATGCAAAGGTCTGAGGCTTGCTAGAGAGGGAATCAGCCCTACCTGGGAAGGGCAAGAGCAACAGGCCCTGCAGGGTCAGGGGAGGGGGGTGCCAAGCTCAGTTCCTCACCTGTGCAGCATGATGGAGGAGCAGGCTGTGAGATTGAGGCTGGTGGTGTTCACCTCTTTGCAGGACTCATGCAGTGTGAACCCGAAGCAGATGAGGCAGGAGCAGATGGTCAGGCTGAATTTCAGCAGGAAGCAGAACAGGAAGTAGTGCTGAGTCCGTGAATGAGAGAGGCAGGAGGATGACATGTCACTGGCCCAACCTCTGCCACATGAACCATCAGGGAATCAATGGCTGCAAAAGACAAGCTGTAGTACAGATGGGATGCTGCACTGTGGATCTGCCCTGTGAGCACGCTGGCACTAAGGGATTCCCTTCCTGTCCATGCCAGGCTTTTGGACAGCATGGCTCATACCACGGATCAATTTACCAAGGGACCTGGGAAGGAACAGGGCCTCAGCTATGCATCAACACTGGGGATAAAGCAGAAGAGAAAAATGTGTGAACAATCTTAATCTGATGGGCCACCTACCTTCTTGGGAATGGAAGTCAAGTTTTTTCCTGTTGCCATGGTCATGATGGAGCTGTGAGGAGGCTTGCCCAGGAGTGAAATGCTGGAAAAAAGGTAAGTTAGTCTCTCAGTAACAACTTCAGGCACCAGAATTATTGCTTTTTCATCTATGCCTAACATTTGAACCCAAATAACCTTGTTAGACTGCTTTGAGCGTTAGCACTTATCTGGTCACTGTCATAAGCACATGCTGTAAAAGGTATCATTCACAGCAGCTGCAGACAGGCAGAGAGGTGACCTCCAAATGTGTGATGGAGAAAAACTCACCCATGGTGCCTTGGCCTCTGCCTGACACCCTAGGCTCCAGCCAGTGTGTCCAGTCCAACAGTATCAGGATTAAAAGACTATTTTCAGCTGGAGGTTCAAGCCACAAGATAATAGCAGCTCCCAGGCAGCAGGCAGGGCTAACACAGCAGTACACAAATGCTCCTATCTGTGTTTCCAAGCATCTTTTCAAAGCAGGTGCTTGGAAGAATCCTTGCAGCTTTCTTAGCATGCTGTGAGTGATGTCAGCTTTCTTTTAACATGGACACAGTGAGGCTGGCGGACTGATCTGTGCATCCTGTGGGTGGGAGGCAGGAGATTCCACCCTATCCAACAGACTCACCTGAGCAGTGGATAGCAGAAACAGGAGAGCCACACGATGTCTGTGGTACTGAGGATGGGGGGCAGCTGCACCAGACAGGAGAGGAACTGCACAGGAACAACCCAGAGTGAAAAGCATGAGTAGTGCTAGGACAGTCTTGTTACCCAAGATGCCACTGTCCTCCCCCAAAACACTGGGCTGAGCTGGTAACTAGGCGGCCACTCCACGTGTTCCAGGCTGCTGGGGCAGGTGCTGCAGAGGATGCTTTTCTCCAGGAAAAAAGGAGTTGAAAAGAAACCTCTGTAGCAGGGTCAAGGAGCAGGCTGAGATCACATAGTCTCTATCTGTAACTTCCCCAAACATGCTGTGTAAGCCTGACTGAAGGCCACCTTCCTCTCTTGCAAGGCTGCCCCACTGCAGCCACCCATATCCACGCTAGCACTGCTGTCCTCTGAGCTAGATGCTGTCCCCACCCAGGCCAGGACTCACCTGAATGACAACCAAGGTCAGCTGGCACTGCAGCAGGAAGAGGAAACACTTGCGGATCCCATATGTTGCATGCCTGGCCTGGAAGGAAGCACAAGCCCTCAGAGCCCTTGCTGTGATGGGAGCAGTTATCAGCCAAGAGCAATTATTGGCAGGCAGGGACAGAACGTGTGGCCTGCAGGGGAAGTGGGAGCGGAGAGGATCCGGACACTTTGTAAGCAACAGGAGAAATTCTCCTGCCTAGATGTAGAGGTGGTGAGGGAAAGGCAGAATTTAGCCAAGGGGTGAGTTTGTTTAAAACTCCTGGCTTTTCTGGAGTAACGCTTCTCCGTAGCACTGCATTGTTGTCTGGCTAGGGACCCCTGCAAGTTTATACTTTATCCAGTTGAACAATATTCATGTTCTGTTGCCACAGGGCACCATTCCCAAACCACCTCCTACACCTCAGACCGGTACAGCCAGGCAGGAAGAGTATCTCTGCTGTGCTTCCCGGACAGGACAAGAGACATAAGCAAAGCTAATGCTGGCAGCTTACTGTGGGCAACTCAACCAGAACGCTCACATGAGCTCCTGGCTTTGCTCTTCGTGAGCTGCAGGCAGAGGAGAGAGTACTAGAGGGGATATGCCTGGCTTACCTGCTCTATAAGCCTGATGATGCTGGTACTCTCTTCTTGGCGGAAGGACATGGAGCAAGGCAGGCTGTTGAGCTGCCCTGAGAGCTGCAGTGGAGTGAGCTCATCAGAGACATGAGTCATGGTGGTGCTGGTGGCATAGCCAAAAGTCTCCCAGGAGCAGCGAGATGGGTAGAGAGGGTCCAGTGCTATACTGCAAGGACAACACAGGACCATTAGCAAAAGTCCCCATCCCGGAGGAAAAACTTTGTTTCACAGCAGTCCAGCTTGTAAAGTCATGCCACGCCACCTCTATCTACCTTGCTGGTAGAGAAGTCCTGAGCTGTGACATGAATTTAGGATCAATGTCCCTAGACTTTTAGTTATTGCTAGAGAAATAATGAACGTATTTGGGTTTGTGGCTCAAGGTCAACAAACCG